GCGCGTGTGCGCGTGTGCGCGTGTGCGCGTGTGCGCGTGTGCGCGTGTGCGCGTGTGCGCGTGTGCGCGTGTGCGCGTGTGCGCGTGTGCGCGTGTGCGCGTGTGCGCGTGTGCGCGTGTGCGCGTGTGCGCGTGTGCGCGTGGGCGCGTGTGCGCGTGTGCGCGTGTGCGCGTGTGCGCGTGTGCGCGTGTGCGCGTGTGCGCGCGTGCGCGTGTGCGCGTGTGCGCGTGTGCGCGTGTGCGCGTGTGCGCGTGTGCGCGTGTGCGCGTGTGCGCGTGTGCGCGTGTGCGCGCGTGCGCGTGTGCGCGTGTGCGCGTGTCGCGTGTGCGCGTGTGCGCGTGTGCGCGTGTGCGCGTGTGCGCGTGTGCGCGTGTGCGCGTGTGCGCGTGTGCGCGTGTGCGCGCGCGCGCGTGTGCGCGTGTGCGCGTGTGCGCGTGTGCGTGTGCGTGTGCGTGTGCGTGTGCGTGTGCGTGTGCGTGTGCGTGTGCGTGTGCGTGTGCGTGTGTGTGTGTGTGTGGGTGTGGGTGTGGGTGTGGGTGTGGGTGTGGGTGTGGGTGTGGGTGTGGGTGCGGGTGTGGGTGTGGGTGTGGGTGTGGGTGCGGGTGTGGGTGTGGGCGTGGGTGTGGGCGTGGGTGTGTGTGTATGTGTGTGCGTGCGTGATTGCGTGTATGTGTGTGTGCCTGTGCGTGTGTGTGAGTGTGTGTGTGCGTGTGTGCGTGTGTGTGTGTGCGTGTTGTGTGTTGGGTGTGTTGTGTGTATGTGTGCTCTGTGCGCGTGTGCGCGCGTGCGCGTGTGCGCGTGTGCGCGCGTGCGCGCGTGCGCGCGTGTGCGCGCGTGCGCGTATGCTCGTGCGCGCGTGTGCGCGTGTGCGCGTGTGCGCGCGTGCGCGTGTGCGCGTGTGCGCGTGTGCGCGTGTGCGCGTGCGAGCGTGTGCGCGTGTGCGCGTGTGCGCGTATGCGCGTGCGCGCGTGTGCGCGTGCGCGCGTGTGCGCGTGTGCGCGTGTGCGCGCGTGGGCGCGCGCGCGCGCGTGCCCGTGTGCGCGCGCGCCCGCGTGCGCGTGCGCGCGTGTGTGCGTGTGCACGTGTGCGCGTGAACGCGTGCGCGCGTCTGCGCGCGTGCGCGTGCGCGCGTGCGCGCGTGTGCGCGCGTGCGCGTGTGCGAGTGCGCGCGTGTGCGCATGCGCGCGCGCGGGTGCGCGCGTGTACGCGCGTGCGCGTGCGCGCGCGTGGGCGTGTGATCGCGCGTGCGACTGAGAGTGTGAGCGCGTGAGCGTCTGAGCGCGTGAGCGCATGAGCGTGTGCGCGCGTGTGTGTGTGTGTGAATGCGCGTGTGTGCGCGTGTGCGTGTGTGCCCGTGTGCGTGCGTGCGTGTGTGCGCGCGTGCGCGCGTGCGCGTGCGCGCGTGCGCGCGCGCGCGCGTGCGCGCGTGTGCGCGCGTGTGCGCGCGTGCGCGCGTGCGCGCGGGCCGCTTGCGCGCGTGCGCGTGTTGCGCGTGCGCGGCCGTGCGCGCACGCGTGCGCTTGCGCGCGTGCGCGCGTGCGCGTGAGCGCGCGTGCACGTGCGCGCGCGCGAGCGCGCGCGCGTGTGCGCGCGTGCGCGCGTGCGTGTGCGAGCGCGCGCGCGCGCGGGCGCGCGCGGGCGCGTGGGCGCGCGAGCCTGTGAGCGTCTGATCGCGCGAGCGCGTGAGCGTGTAAGCGTGTGAGAGTGTGTGCGTGTGTGTGTGTGCACGTGTGTGTGTGCGTGCGTGCGTGCGCGTGCGTGCGTGCGTGCGTGCGTGCGTGCGTGCGTGTGCGCGTGCGTGCGTGCGTGCGTGCGCGCGTGCGTGCGTGCGTGCGTGTGGGCGTGTGTGGGCGTGTGTGTGTGCGTGCGTGTGTGCGTGCGTGTGCGCGTGCGTGGTGTGTGTGTGCCTGTGCGTGCGTGCGCGTACGTGCGTGCGTGCGTGCGTGCGTGCGTGCGCGCGTGCGCGCGTGCGCGCGGGCGTGCGCGCGCGTGCGTGCGCGCGCGTGCGTGCGTGCGCGTGCCGCGCGCGCGCGTGCGTGCGCGCGCGCGCGTGCGTGCGCGCGCGCGTGCGTGCGCGCGCGCGCGTGCGTGCGCGGCGCGCGGGGCGCGGGGGCGGGGGCGGGGGCGGGGCGGGGGGCGGGGGGGGGGGGCGGGGCGCGGGCGCAGGCGCGCGCGCCATCGCGCGCGCGCGCAAGCGGGCGCTGGGCGGGGGAAAGGAAGACCACGGAGGTGCGAGGAGCAGGAAACAGGGAGGGGTGGGTGAAAATTCGATGATGGGGGCTTGGAAGTGGATAGTACGGAGGTAGACAGGCAATGGAGATGAGGAGGAGCAGGTGGATGTTTAGGACGCATGACAGCGGTCATTCTATGCATGATGAATATGGTGATGATGGCGGCGGTAGCGGCGGTGGTGATGAAGGTGGCGGCGATGATGGCGACGATGATTATGATGGTGACGTGGACGAGAATGACGATAGTGATCGCGAGGGCGATGGTAGCGGCGATTATGATAGCGGCGACGGTGAGGACGCAAAAGAGGAAGAGGAGCAGGAGGAGGA